AAAATAAAATAAAATAAAATGAAGCCTGGGAGCTTTCAAAGATTCCATAGATACTAAGAGAGGATATCAGAGACAGTAGTCTTTAAGAAACATACATGGGAAGTTCAAGATTCCATTGTTTTTTTCCACTGAGTAGTACTCCATTGTGTAAATGTACAACATTTTCTCTGTCCATTCTTCAGTGGAGGATCATCAAGGTTGCTTCCAGGTTCTGGCTGTTACAAATAATGCTGCTATGAAAATGACTGGATAGATGTCCTTGTTGTATGAATGTGCATCTTTTGGGTATATGCCTAAGAGTGGAATTGCTGGATCTTGTGGAAGACTGATTCTCATTTTCCTGAGGAATCACCATACCGATTTCCAAAGTGGCTATACCAGTTGGCACTCCCACCAGCAGTGGAAGAGTGTTCCCTTTCCCCCCCATCCTCTCCAGCATAATCTGTCATTGGTGTGTGTTATTTTAGCCATTCTGACAGAAGTAACATGGTATCTCAGAGTTGTTTTGATTTGCATTTTCCTGATGGCTAAGGAAGTTGAGCACTTTCTTATGTGTCTTTCAGCCATTTTAGACTCCTCTATTGAGAATTCTCTATTTAATTCTGTCCCTCACTTTCTAATTGGATTATTTGGTGTTTTGGTGACTAGCTTATTGAGTTCTTTGTATAGTTTGGAAATCAGCCCTCTTTCATATGTGGGGTTGGTGGATATCTTTTTCCATTCTATGGGCTACCATTTTTGTCTCTTTGCCTTACAAAAGCTTATCAATTTCAGGATGTCCCATTTATTAATTGCCGATCTCAGTGTCTGTGCTCCTGGTGGTCTCCCGTACCAATTCCTTCACAGGCACTTCCCACTTTCTCTTCTAAGAAGTTCAGTGTGGCTGTGTTTATGTTGAGTTCTTTGATCCATTTGGGCTTAAGTTTTCTGCATGGCGATAGATATGAATCTATCTGAAGTCTTCTACAAGCCAGCATCCAGTTATGCAAATACCATTTGTTGAAGATGCTTTCTTTTTTCCATTGTATAATTTTAGCTTCTTTGTCAAAAATCAGGTGTTCATAGATGTGTGGGTTAATGTTAGGGATTTCAATTCGATTACATTGGTCTACCTCTCTATTTTTGTGTCAATACCAAGCTGTTTTCAGGACTACAGCTCTGTAAGAACTTGAAGCCAGAGATGCTGATGCCTCCTGAAGTTCTTTTATTGTACAGGGTTGTTTTGACTATGCTGGATCTTTTGTTTTCCATATAAAGTTGAGAAATGTTCTTTCAAGTTCTGTGAAGAATTGTGTTGAGATTTAGATGGGGATTTCACTGAATCTGTAGATTGCTTTCGGCAAGATTGCCATTTTTACTATGTTGGTCCTACCTATCCACGAGCATGGGAGATCTTCCCATTTTCTGGTATCTTCTTTGATTTCCTTCCTTAAAGACTCAAAGTTCTTGCTATACAGGTCTTTCACTTGTTTGGTTAGCAATGCCCCCAAGGTATTTTATGTTGTTTGTGGCAATTGTAAAGGGTATTATTTCTCTGATTTCTTTCTCAGCCCATTGAAGAAACCATCCTGAGTTAGCTAACCCAATCACAAAAAGACAAAAATGGTATATACTAACTGGTATATGGATTTTACATCTAGAGCAAAGGAGTATCAGCCTACAATCCACACCTCCAATGAAGCTAGGAAACAAGGAGGACACTAAGAGAAACATATATGATCCCCTGGAGAAGGGGAAAGGGACAAGATCTCCTGAGCAAATTGGGAGCATGAGGGGAGGGAAGAGGGAGTTAGAAGAAAGAGAAGAAGAGAAGAGGAGAGGAAGATCGAATCAGGTGAATAATAGAGGAGAGCAAGAAAAGAGATACCATAATAAAGGGAGCCATTATAGGTTTAAAGAGAAATCTGGCACTAGAGAAATGTCCAAAGATCTACAAGGTTGACCCTAACTAACAATCTAAGCAAAAGTCAAGAGTCTACTTTAAAAGCCCTTCTCAGGTAATGAGATTGATGACTAACTTATATGCCACCATAGAACTGGTTTGTATAAGTCTCTTGCTTGTTGGAAGGCACATGCATTTTCCTGTGAGTGGTCCAGAGATGGAAGAAGTTTCAAGGGTGAGAATGATAAGATCAGAAGTGTTGTCCTAAAACTTAACCCTGTGACATGAGAAAGAATGATCTAACAATGCAGAGCAAGCAATGACTTAAACAGTCTGTCTGCTTAATCACTCAGTCATTCATGAAGCATTTATTGAGTGCCTCTTATATGCTCCTGATGGAGATATAGTCAAACAGACCCAATGCAAGTTAAAAATACTTATGATACATATAACCTACTTACTGTTATATAGCTCAGCAACAGCCCACTCCAGACTACCATATATTTGCTTTCATGATTTGTGACTGACATGAATATACCAATAATCTGTAAAAGAGCAAAATTCAAAGAACACTTTGTACTGAATCTATATTGTTTTTATAGTATATAGTATTCAAAGCTCATGAGTGAAACTATGCAAGTTGGGGAGTTTGTGCCTATTCGCGCATATATTAGGAACACAGGGACAAAGGTAAATCAAACACACAGTTTAACAGAAAGCCCAATAAGAATATTGTGGTAGGCAATAAGAGCAATGGAATGAAAATATCTCTAAAGGAGTTGATAAGAAGAATTGTTATGCTGATTTAGGATATTGAGGAAATTGTTACTTGGAGTACGATACATGAACTACTTAATTTAGAGTCAACCTGGAACTTGTGACAATGTAAATTCCCAGACACCAGGCTCGACTCAATGGTTGATAAGATAGGATTTTGTGAAAGTGGAACCTGTGATTCAGTGTGTATGTGTATATATGTGTGTGTCTGTTTGCATGTATGTGTGTGCATCTGTGTGTGTCTATGTGCATCTGCATGTATAAGTGTGTGTGGTGTGCATGTATGTGTGTGCATTTGTATCTAAGTGCATATGTGCATATATCTCTGTGGAAAGGTTCATGTGTGTGTCTGTTTATATGTGTCTCTGTTGTGTGTGTGTGTGTGTGTGTGTGTGTGTGTGTGTGTGTGTTTCCTATTGCTTTGAAAGGTCTTCTAGTAGATTCCAGTCACTATGGCAGTATGATAGTGGAGTGGGATTAACAAAATAATGATGAATTCACCATTTAGCCAGAATAGAGAGGATGGCCTATTAAAGGGCAATATGCTAGGCAGTAAGCATAATACTACCTATAGACAAGTCAGTTTATGTTAACAAGCACCCCAAGACAGTCTTAGCCAAGTAGAAGTTTTGAAAACTTTGGAGTGAAGACAAGGTACTAGTCTGGAAGGATACTGGACAGTGAGAGAGCATCTTGTCCATAAGGACAGTAAGAACAGGCATGTTTAAAGGCTTTTAGGCAGCAGTATATAAAAAAGACAGCAACATGAAGCATCCTAATACAATTATACAGTCAGTTGCCAAAAAATAATTTAATATACAAGATAAACAAACATGGAAGAATTTAACAATTTATAATGTCTGGATTTATTGCTCTCCCTTACATAAACATTTTATATTCTAACTGGAGATTTCTTAGGAATAAATCAGCAAATGTAGAAATTGAAGTCCATGACAGGTGGAGAAAAAGATATTTTGGATTTGTGCAGACAATTATGATGAAAGTGGGGCATAATGCAGATGTATCCAGATGAAAAACACCAGTAAGATCATTTAATTCCAGAGAGGAAAATTACAACTTCCATATTTCAGACTGAGTGCTACTCCAATAGCATGGACATTTTATACTAAACATTTGAGTTCTCCTGGGAATATGGCAAATGTTGAAAGAAAATTAATGAACAATTCAGGTCCCTATCAGAGCCTGCATTAAACCCAACATTCAAATAATTTTAAAATACAAAGAGTTAGAATATTGGTCTTTATGATGATCACTCAAAAATAATTTTTTGACAAGGTTAGAAAAGACTTCCTTGGAAAGACATTAAAAGTATTTGTTTTTTACAGGGAAAATTGAGTTACCACTCCAGTTTGAGTTTATAAATGCTGTCTCTAAATGTATTCTTCTTCTATATGCCACACAGAAGTGGTTTCTCCAGTGCCAGTGGCTCCACTTTCTAATTCCTAATGGCAAATCTCCTTTTATGAACATTAATATGCCCTATTTCATTTGATGATATTCCTCCATTTAACTTCAACTTCATGCTAAGTAATTATTTAATATTAAAAATATAAAGTATGACATCATATTTATTGATTATTTTAGATAGTGGTGAGCAGTATCCCTTTGCAATATTTAAAGTATATTCCACATTTTAAAATGAAAACAAATAACTTCAGTATCCCTTTCTTCATCAAATCTCACAGTCTTGTTGTGCTGTAGCCATTCAATATATAATCTACCCCTTCTTCTCCAATCTATACATTTATAGTTTTCACCATAATTCTGTCTTTCTGAATTGATAAATTATTACAGCCTGAAGTATTTCTGTCTGAAGACATTCTAATACATTCTAGGGAACAGTGCTGTAGACTAAAGTTTCTGTCCCACCCGGTCCTGCAGCCATTCAGTCTCAAATAAACACACAGAGGAGTATATTAATTATAAACTGTTTGACCTATTGCTCTGGCTTATTACTAACAAACTCTTACAACTTAAATTAACACACAATTCTATGTTTAGTGACACAGCTTGGTAACTTTTCTCAGTAAAGCATTCTCACCTTGTTTCCTCTGCATCTGGGGTGACTCCTCTCTGTATTTCTTGTCCCAGAATTCTCCTAGTCTGATAGTCCCACCTAAAATTCCTGCCTGGCTACTGGACAATCAGTGTTTTATTAAACCCATATGAATGAAAAATCTTTACAGTGTGCAAAAGCATTATTCCACATCACAATACTTTGATGAAAAGGAATGAAGTATAGTGTTAGACTATCAGACATCCACTCTCTGTAGCTCGGACTTTCAAAGTAGGTCATGTGCCAAGAATCAATATATGAACAACTGTGTATTTTCAAAATCAAGGCTGAGAACAAGAAGGTTTTGCTTTTGTGGTTGGGGATTTGTTTCCCTCCCTCAACTGAACAGCTAAGGACTGCCTGAACCCCTCATTTGGGCAAACTGCTTTACTTCCAGACTCTACCTGGATGACAACTGTCCATTGCCACATCTGCATACAAACCATTTTTGTACACACATCTGTGCAATCTTCATTCTGTATAGGGCTGTCTGTGACCTTTGATTCCCTTTCAATTGTGGTTACTCATTCAGTGTCAGTCTGCCATGAGAAGAATGCTCATGGAGATAAGGCCAGGTCAACTCATCAATTGGTCAACACAATGTCTATTGTCAGGCACACAGAATGTATACAACATTTGTTAAATGAAAGCAGCAATATTAAAGGGAGTGGAGAATAAAATAATTGCCACCTTTCTGCATTTTCTATGAATCAGCCAAACATCCTTGAGCATTTAGGTTCCTCTTATCAGCCTGCATATTTAATTTTGCCATCTTATTTCCTGAGCTGAGACTCTAAATGATAAGCATCAGGGGAAATATTCACAAAAGGTTGATTGTGACTTAACAATTATTAATAACAGAGGGCTTTGTGACATAAGATGCAATACTTTTTCTGAAGTTGGAGAAGACATTTAATTCCAAGAAGTGTCTTCCTAATAAATCAGAGCTTCGACAAAGGTAATTAACTGAAAGCTTGTGCCTTAGAAAACTTCATTAAATCTCTCCTAGATTAAACGCTGGTAAGAGGCTGAACTATCCACGCCTTTAATCTCTGACTTTGCATCCAATACTCTGGAACAGAAGAATTTTGCCACCACTGGAACTATCTGGGGACACAGTGATAAGAAAGACATTAAAAATAAGTTCTCAGACAAATGGATATGAGCTCTTGTCAAGGCTCTATTCAAATGTACTCTGAAGAAGACTTAAGAAAGTTTTGGTGATAGTAATTCAGTAGATTTTATACTAGGGAAGATTCAAAATGGAAGAAGAGTCTGATCAGGGAAAAATCTGAAATAAGGTTGGAGATGTTAGATACACTTCAGTATGTTCTTCACAGGTAGAGAATATGATTGTGACTAAACTAGATTCCTATAAACATGCTAATCCCTTTAAACGTAGCCAAAAGCTATCCAAAGAATTTACCACAAAATCTACTTTGGAGAAGAACCTGTAAATTGTATTATACAGAAAAAAACATGTGGTGCTCCTTGAGATGCCTATATAAAATATACATATGTAAATATATATGAGTATGTACTTAGATTGATAGTTTTAGTAAAACTATAACCAGAAGGCTCATAATCATCACTGTATAAAAGAGTGAAAGGAAGTTGGGTTAGAGACAACTATCACTGACTCCAGTGAAATGTTCTATTCCAAGAAATGGCATCAATTGATTATTTTAACAAAAGGATATGTTGGCTTACTTTTTTCAATAATGTGCGTGGGTTTTCCCCTTCCTGAAGCTTCCTTTTATTTAATTATTTTGTAATTGAAAACAATCTTATTTTACATAGCAATCACAGTTCCCTCTCCCTCCCATTCTCCCCTTTTTCCCTTTAGCCCCACCCATTCTAAACCCCCATCCACTCCTCAGAGAGGGTGAAGCCTCCCAAGGGATTTCATCAAAGTCTGTCACATAATTTTGGGGTAGGACCTAGGCCATCTGCCATATATCTAGGCTGAAAGACAATCTCCTTATAGGTAATGGGCCCCCAAAGCCCATTCATGCACAATGGATAAATACTGGTTCCACTGCAAGAGGACCCATAAATTGCCCAAATTCCCCAACTGACATCCACTTTCAGGGAGCCTGGTTCCATCTTATGTGGTTCCCCAGATGTCAGTTTGGGGTCCATGAGCTCCCACTTGCTCTGGTCAGCTGTTCCTGTGGGTTTCCCCAGCATGGTCTTGTTCCATATGTTAATCACTCACCCCTCTCTACAACTGGATTCCAGGAGTTCAGCTCAGCACTTAGCTGTGAATCTATTTCTGCTTCCATAAGCTACTGGATGAAGGCTCTATGATAGCATTTAAGGTAGTCATCAATCTCATTATTGGGGAAGGGCATTTAAGGTAGCCTCTCCACTATTGCTTAGATTTTTTAAGTGGTGTCATCCTTGTGGATTCCTGAAGATTTCCCTAGTTCCAGATTTCTTGTTAAGCCCATAATGGCTGCATATATTATGGTATCTCTTTCCTTGCTCTCTTTCTCTGTTCTTCCCCCAATTTAACCTTCCTGATCCCTCATGTTCTCCTCCCGCCTCTCTTCTGCCTTCCACTTTGTCCTACCTCCAACCCCCACCCCTGTGTTTCCAATTTATTCAGGAGATCTTGTCTCTTTCCCATTCTTGGGGGGCCATGTATGTCCCTCTTAGGGTCCTCCTTGTTTCCTAGCTTCTCTGGCC